GGACGACGGGGCCGCGGGGGAGCCCGAGACCCCGCCGGTGAGGAGCCCCTCCCTTTCCTCAGGGATGCCCCCCCTGCCGCCCCTCTTCCCAAGGGAACAGCTGCCAGGGGCAGGAAGGAGGAAGCTGTGAACCCCCACCCACCCACTTACTTTCCTCTCTACCCTCCTGCCTGCCGCTGGACCCACCTCGTGGCTGCAGGGAGTGGGTGGGTGGTAGATATGTCTCGCCTGGGAGGGTGCCCACCCATTTTTAGGGCCACCCTGTGTCCCCCATTTCTCCCCGGGGGGCCCCGCCCTGCAGCTCACCTGCCAATGATGCTCTTGATTTGCGAGTCCTTCTCCACCTGCTGCTGCCGGAGGCGCTTCTCGCTCTGCTCCAGCCGCTGCTGATATTGCTGGAGGATCTTGCTGGTCTGCTCCTCCTGGGTCAGCAGCCGCCGCTCGTACTCCTCCAGCTTCCGGTTGGACATGTGGAGGCGCTCCTTCAGGGAGTGGATCTCCTCCTCGTATTCCTTCACCTGGGAGCCCAAGAGAGGAGGAAGGAAGCAGGGCGCTCAGAGGCTTTCCTCGTCCAGCCCCGGGCACCCCACCCTGTGGCCCCAAAAGGAGAGGGGGTGTGCGGCTGGCGGCCCCCTCAGCCAGCCTCCGGCCTGAGGGAGGTCTCTGAGCAGAGGCCCCTTCCACACACCTCCCACCCTGGAAACACTGGAATCAGCCTGGCAGCCCATGTGCCCCCCCCCGGTGGGCAGGCCGTGGCTGGCTGCTCCCTGCCCATCCTGAGCTAGCCAAGGCCATGGAGGACGTTGGTTGGCAGCCATGATCAGACTGGCCAGTCTTCCTCCAAAAAAACCTCTGACGGCTGTCTCTATTCTCTCTCCCCCTCCAGTTTAAAGCTGAGTTAGCCTTCAAGAGGAGAGGGGGCTTGGGTCCGCCTCCCCACGGACCCCCCCACCCATGTTATCCGCTTCCAGGGGTCAGCTGCCGGAAGCTCTGGGTGTGTTGTCCCCCCCCGTACCCTGTCCAACCGACTCTCGTCCATGGACTTGGAGTACTCTTTCAGCTTGTACTCCTCCCGCTCAATGTGGGAGCTCTCAATGTCCGCAGAGAGGTGGGGCATGTTGGAGACCCAGGCGACCGTCCGCTCGGAGGCTGGCATGGCGGGGTTGAGCGTCGAAGGCGTGTGTGATTGCTGCCGGAGGAGAAGGAAGGGATGGAATGAAGCAAGGGATGAAGGAAGGCAGGGAGGAAGGAAGGGGTGGAGGGAAAGAAGGATGGGAGGAAGGGATGGAGTGAGGGAAGGCAGGGAGGAAGGATGGACAGATAGGAGGAAGGAAGGAAGGAAGGAAGGAAGGAAGGAAGGAAGCAGAGCATGATCCCCTCCCTTCGGAGACTGGGCAGCAGGGCAGTATTCCAACATGATAACAACCCCAAACACACCTCCAAAACGACCACTGCCTTGCTAAGGAAGAAAGGAAGGAAGGAAGGAAGGAAGGAAGGACAGGGAGAAAAGAATGAATGAATGAATGAATGAATGAATGAATGAAGGAAGGAAGGAAGGAAGGAAGGAAGGAAGGAAGGAAGGACAGGGTGAGTGAGGCCACCAGCATTTTTAACAGTATCTCTGAGGAGCATTTAACTTAACTTTTTCAGGCGTTCAAATTGCATTCTTTGTGGCCAACCTTTTAATTTTTCTAAAAAATAAATAAATGTACAGAGACAACATAAGAAAAGGTACTGCCTGCTCTAACATAATAAAAAACAGAAAAGAAAAATACGCATATCTTAATACAACTCAACTAGAGATGGGCACGAACCTCGGTTCGTAGGTTCGTGCTGTTTATATGCAGGGCATCACAGGTGCTGCACAGTCCTTTCCCCCGCCTCCCGGGCCGGATTCCCCTCGTGCTGTTTATATGCAGGGCATCACAGATGCTGCACAGTCCTTTCCCCCACCTCCCAGGCCGGATTCCGCCAGGCGTGCTCCTCCCCTCCTCCTCTTCAGCTGTTCTGCCAGTCCCGGGAAGGAGCAAATGCTTCCCTGCCCCGCCTCCTTGGCTGACCGCCCACTCAGACAAGGAGGCGGGAGGGCCAATCTCGTGCTCCTGCCAGTGACTGGTTGAACAGCCGAAGAGGAGGAGGGGAGGAGCACACTCTCGACTGCTGAGTGAGTCGTTGGCCAGACAGGTAGGAGAAGCGCATGGCCCTTGTGCTGCTGTGTGCATGAACTGGACACGAGCCTCTGAATCGAGGTTTGTGCCCGTCTCTAAACTCAACAACAACAGCAAAATATCTAAATTCCAAGTAACTTGAATTTCAAGCATGATTTCTGTTCCTGAAACATGGTCAAAGATTTTTTTTTGGGGGGGGAGATTTTCTCTGACCGACTGCCAGCAAATTTTTGTCTGGAAAATGGGCTACAGAGGATGGCCTTCCTCATAGGCAGCACTGCCTTTCATCTGGTCCACCACACGCAGCCTATAAGCCATGGGCAGGGGTAGTCCAAGGTCTCCCACTGCCTGTCAGTCCCGAGGGTGGCTCTCTTTCCACCCCCATTGGGTTTGCCTCAGGTTGAGGTGCCTCCGTGATTCTCCCCCCCCCCGTGCATTTGGCCCCAAATGGCTCCTCTTCCACCTTCTCTCCACGCCCTGCCCAGGACTGGTTATTGAAAGAAGCCCTGCCTTTCCTGGGAAATTCATTTCTCCTTCCTTCTAACCCCATGCGTTTCCCCAAATCCCCCGTGGCTGTCCGTGTCTCTCTGCGGCGAAGGCTGGCATATGTGTCGGGAGAAGGCATCCCTTTGGAGACGGGCCGGCTGAGCCAAAGTTCACTGTGGTCTGGGGACACGTAGCTTAGACTACAGCAAAACATTACACAGGGGTCTGCCCCAGGAGACTGGCTGGGTGAAACTTTAACACCGAGTACAGCAACTCCATTCTTAACTGAGGAGCTCGAGTTTAGAAACAAGTTGCATATTGGCAACTATTTTTCTGTTGTCCAGCACGTTCCGTAAATAACTTGGGAGGAAGCTGAAAGTCTTCGGGTGCCCAGATGAACCTTCCTGGGTCTTGAGATCTGCCAGAGAGGGCCATACCTATAGCAGGTCCCCTCTTCCATTCCAAAGCCTGGATTTCTTTCCCTAGAGCGGATTCCCTGAGACCTTCTGGGTAGCAGCTAGAAACCTCTCCGTTGGTGGGAGCTCACCTGGCTTTCTAATTTCACCCAAAGTCAATCTGGCTCTCAAATCGGATCATTCACTTGATAGCCAGAAACAAAGACCGAGCGGCCGTACCGGAAGTCCTCCAACACTCGTTTGCTATGAACCCGTGGTGATCATTCACTTGATAGCCAAAAACAAAGACCGAGCGCCCGTCCCGGACGTCCAGCACTGCTATGAACCCGTGGCTTCCAACCTAGAGTCCCCAGAGGTTCTTGGACTACAAGTCCCAGAGATCCAGGCCGGCACAGCTGGTGGCAAAGGCTTCCTCTGGGAGTTTTAATCCTAGATCCTCTGGGGGCCCAAAGGCTTCTGGCAAAGAACTGTACTGGGGCAGAGCGCACCACCCTCTGGATCCGGCCTGGGAGGGGGCGGAAAGAGACGGGAATGAGATTTCTTCCCACCCCTGCTTCTGGTGCTCCTTCCACATCCTCTCCTTCTGGCAGGATCTAGGGTGCATGGGGGTGGGTGGGTGCGTGGTTCCTGCCATGTCTTTGAGGGGGGGGGGCTAGCCAAGGCAGTCCGGTTTTGTGCCCACTTGATGTGGAGGAAGCTGTCTGTGTGAATCTTTTCTGTTTCCCTGCTAAAAGCACAGCGGAGGCCTTTAATGACCTCTCCAGGCACCACCTCAAAGAACAGAGTTCTCCGAAGTTCACGCAAGGAGCGTGTCCTGGCCTGTCACAGGGACGTGTGAGGCTGCTCTGACAGACTTTGATGGCTACGACCTCCTGGCCTCATCCATCGTGGCTGGACAGCCGCTGCCCTTCCTCCGTGGTCCCCAGCTAATCTGTGGCAGTTCTGCTGCGACAGCAGTGCAGGAAGTGTTCCTTCAGCCTCTGGGTGAGGTTTAGTTCCTTTCTAAGGTTGGCTTTAGTTACGTGGGCCAAGGGAAGGGAGGGAGGGAGGGAGAGAAGGAAGGAGGGAAGGAGAGAAGGAAGGCAGGGAGGGAGAAGGAAGGAAGGAGAGAAGGAAAAAGGGAGGGAGGGAGAGAGAAGGAGGGAGGGGGAGAAGAAGGAAGGAGAGAAGGAAGGAAGGAGAGGAGGAAGGAGAGCAGGAAGGAGAAAAGGACGGAAGGAGTGGAGGAAGAAGGAAGGAAGGAGTGGAGGGAGGGAGAGAAGGAAGGAAGAAGGAGAGAAGGAAGGAAGGAGAGGAGGAAGGAGAGGAGGGAGGGAGAGAAGGAAGGAGCTTGGCTGACCAGGAGTGGAGGGAGGGAGAGAAGGAAGGAAGGAGAGGAGGGACTGACGGAGAGAAGGAAGGAGGGAAGGAAGGAGAGGAAGCGAGGAGTCCATCCATCAGCAAAGGTCTGTCCCATCTTGAATCCACCTGCTGTTGCTGATGCCGTCATTGAAGGAAAGAATTCAGCATAGACCTTCAGTGACCCCTGTGGAGAGCTGCGGCCTCGTGGTTTCTTCTGGCTGTGGCCAGAGCCTCAAGCCCTGCACTGCCCATCAAGGACTGCTTGTCTGAGGGCAGCCTGGTCTTGGATTCGATTAAGCTGGTCCAGAAACAGCTGGTGGAACAAACAGGGCTAACGCAAGTCTCTGGTGAATGCATGAAGCCACCCTCGGGCACCAACTCAGATCCTCCTCGGTCACGGTGCCCGATGTGCCCCCTCAGTCACTGGACAAAGCCAGTTGGGTCTTCTTCCTCAGCGGGGAGAGACTGGGTCATGGAGAGGAGGAGCCCTACTGCGGGAAATGTCTTTTACTGCAAGGTAAAAGACAGCAGGAAAGGAGGAAGATGAAAAGAAGAGATGGAAAACCTCAGGCCGCCCTAAGTTGGAGGTGGCTGGGCAAAGGAAGAAGGGCCGTTGCAGGGGTCTGCCAGCTCCTCTCTCCTTCTCTTGCTTCTCATTTCAGGTCCAGATGGTTTCTGCATCCCTTGAGCACTCAGCGGTGACTTCTTCAACACCAGCCTGCGTGGTCACAAAGATCTTCCTCCAAGGTGGGCCTCCGGCAAGCGTGAGTAAAGGGTGGTGCTTACCAGCTTGGCCAAGCCTTCCCTGTTCTGTTGGGTCGTTTTATGGTGTTTGATCAGAGCCCTGAAATCTCTACTTCACTCTTTTAATTGGTCTATTGTTTTATTGGCTGAACCCTGTAGCCCGTCACAACGCAAGCAGGCCCATTGACTCGGTGGCACTTAACAGTGGAGCCGACTCAGCCAATCCTCATGGATTCAAGGAGCTTACTTGCATAGCGACTTGCCCCTGGGATTTCGGTCAAAGTTTCGGCCTCAGCTGCTTTCCTTCTACTGTTAACACTTTGCTCCGTCTCACTCACTGATTCGTGGAACAATTGTGCCTTATTGTCAGTGTAATTTAATTAAATTCAGAATGCACACCCAGGTTTTGTATAAACGTGGAATCCAGATCCCAGAACAGATCGTGAATAAACAGATCTATCGTTAATAAAAAGATCTACCTAGAGTGGTTGTGGAGGTCCGCCGGCTCGAGCCCAGAGCGAGCAGCAAAGGAAAGGAAATGGTGTGCTGCTTATGTCCCATCCCATAGCACTTCAACCACTCTCTAGTCAGTTTACAATTCAGTTATGCAGGCTACACCTTGCGCACCCACACGCCCAGCAAGCTGGGTACTCAATGGAAGGCTGAGTGAACCTTCAGCGGGCGACCTGAGCCTGGCAGGATCAAACTCAGGTCTGGAGCAGAGTTGTGACTGCAGTACTGCAGTTGGGCCACTGGAGATCAAGAGCTCCAGAGTCTGTGGGCCACAGTCCTCTTGGAGCGTGTTGACACCAGCCGGCAGACTTCCACAGACGCTCTAGCCCTTCTCCGGGAGGGCCCCTCTTCTCCCCACCCACCTCCCCACCCCTATCACCCCTGCCGGCTTCCACCCACCTGCTTGGTGATTGATGGCTTGAGAGCGGAGGGGGTCTCCTTGTTGATGGACTGCTGGCGGCTGCGGGGCGGGCCGTACGGGGCCTCTGGCTGGAGGAGGTTGCCGCTGGAGGGCCGGGGTTTCTGGGCGGCCGAGACGGTGAGCTGCTGGGATTTGCCCCGCTGGAGCGGGGGCTGGGGCTGCGAGGGCGGCGGGGCGGTGGGGCGCTGGGGCTGGGGGCCGATGG